GACTCCCCTGTGGTTTCCATCTAGAATCCTGAGTTCCCCCTTCCCCATTGTAAGAAAACACAGTGCCTTTCCATGGCATCATTGCTGGGCAGTTTCCCCTCCTTTCCCCTCATTCTGAATGGCTGAAAAACCTTTCCTAAGGTTTAACGGCAGTAAAAACCTAAAGTGAAAATTTGCAGTTATTTCCAAATCTTGGCATTAATGTATGATAGTCGAATGAGGGTGTGATTAGATGGTGATTTTGCTTGCTTTTTGGAGTGCCTATGGCATGTCCTGGTTCCATCTATTTTCCAACAACCAGATGACATGCAGGAACCAGTCTGACCTTCCTTTGTGTCCAATCCAGGCTTTTTGGTCCAGTGGCAGGGTTGATCTTTTTTGGGAACTGAACTGGTATAATCAGGACCAGATCACGTGTGGACAGAAGGATTGCTTTAAAGATCACACCCAGCAAAGCAACCCTTCTGGGCACAGTCCAATGCAATCCTGTATTGTTGTCTGATCTCACCCTTATCGGTTAAGCAGTACATTAGCTAACATAGATGAGTAAGGGTTCTTAACAATTAAAACTAGTCAGTCAATGGATCAGTTAGTTAGTTAGTTAGTTAGTTAGTTAGTCAGTCAGTCAGTCAGTCAGTCAGTCAGTCAGTCAGTTAGTTAGTTAGTTAGTCAGTTTATAATTAAATTTTAATCCTGCCCAGCTAGTGGCAAAACCACTAAGGTACTAAGTTATTGAGATATGTTACAATGCTTTTTTGCATGAACAAAATGCATTAGGATTGCCATTCTTTAAAATGGCACCTTTTGTAACATTGCCAATTTTTTATTGTGAGGACCAAGGGAGGAGCAGAAGGACTATGCATATTGCCTTGAACTCATTGGAAGACAAATGGGGTATATACTCTATGTAAATAATGAAATTAGGCTGGAATTTGTGGTGGCAAATAATGTAATCCATCTATCCAAATTCTAATTAACTAACAAAGGTGATGATACACCCTTGAGACACTGTGATTGATTTGACTGATCTTTGAAAACCAAGGTATGAAGTGTGTGTTGTTAGATTTGTTAGATTTGTGTGTTGATGTGGAGCAGGCCCTAGGAGAGTCAGAAACAGCAGGGTCATTTGGCCAGAGCCTCTCCTTATAGGGGGCTTCACTTTAGCCAAGGGCACGTGGTTCTCCACTTAAACTTTTGTACATGCCATTGTTGACATTGAAATACTTTTTACTCCCCTTCCTAATACTAGTACTTTTACTTTCCAGAAAGATTTGATAGGGCTTTTCCATGTGTGGATGGGGAGGTGGGGCTTGTCTGTAGAGGAAGATGAGGGAAAGAGTAGAAGGAGAAAGGAGAGGGAGCACAAGAGAGAGTGCGGTGAAGAGGGTAAGGAGTAATGAGGGGGAGGAAAGGGGGAACAGTGTGCATACACATGCATTGTGCTAGTATTCACCTCTCTGCAAAGCCTCTGCTCCCCTAAGCTGCCATTTTTTTATTATAACAGCTCCCCCCTCTGCAGTCCCTTTTGTGGGTTTTTTTTAACAGTTTGACCTGCAAGATGAGAAAGTAATTGGGAAGAAGAGTGTTCTTAAGGCAGTTCCTTTGAACTGCACCACCTACAGGTACTTCAAATGTAATTGCAAGCACAAGGCATTTATCTCTGGCTTCTGCAGCCACTTATATTCAAATAAACCGGAAGAAGAGTGTTCTTAAGGCAGTTCCTTTGAACTGCACCACCAACAGGTGCTTCAAATGTAATTGCAAGTACAAGGCATTTATCTCCGGCTTCTGCAGCCACTTATATTCGAATAAACCAAATGCCCCAGTGTGACTTTTCAGTGAGAGAAGGCACTTTTCCTCACAGGCTAAGGCCCCTCTTCTTTATCTTGACCTGCCTCATGTGCAAAGAGAAAAAATACACCAAGAAGATTGTCTTCGGACAAAACGCTGGCTCTATGGCTTGGAAACGGGGATGAGCACCGCCCCCTAGAGTCGAACACGACTGGACAAATATTGTCAAGGGGAACCTTTACCTTTACCTTTACCTTTACCTAATATCCAGATACCAGGGTCAGATAACATCTGTATTAACATAATAAAATATTTAAAATGCCACTCCTCCAGGACACTGGCTGTTCATCACAGAGTTTATGGTATGGTAGGCCAAGAGGAGATAAAGAAACAGAAAAGTCTAAAAATCATCCTAAATGCATGCTAAGGATACAAGTTCAATTTAGGTTAGATTTTCAGATACAGGAATTGCCATGTTTCGGGGAGCTTCCACGTTCAGCTAGTACAGAAGCAGTCCTTTGTTGGCAGAAATTGAGAGGGAACACTGATTCTGCACCCCCTTTGGTGAAACTTGATAAAACTGCATCTCAAAGTTCTTGTTGTTTTTAAGTTGGCAGTCCCTAAAAGAACTTTAGTGTAACTGCAGGAAGACTTCATGTTTCTCACTTTGCATTGACCACCCTGATGAAGAGTCCTAATGGAAACTAAAAGGAGACAGGAGAGTAAGAAGATGAGATGAAGAGGGAGTAAAAAAGTGAAGCAAGATGATGATTATTGGTGGATGGAAAACTAGGTTTTCAAAAATTTAGTGCAGCTGTTCCCTTTTCTTCAAAACTCAAACTGGGGCAAGATGGGATTCAAATAATGTATGAAAAATATCACTGTCAGTCCAATAAGGCTTTGGGGATAGCAACATAGCATGTGTTTAAACACCAGTTTAATTAGATTTTGCATATTATTGACAATTAATGTTTGTGATCATTTTGTGCTGACTGTGCTGACTCTGGGTATTTGAGATGGTATAATTTCACCCTACCCCTTACCGAAATGTGCCCCCCTTTCCTGATGATATCTTAGAAATTAAATTTGGCCCTCATGCTAAATTCTACTCATACTTTTGGAAGCAGTTCTCTCAACAAGATTGCACAACTGAATCCACCCTTAGGCTGCAATCCTACATTTATTCATTGGAGAGTAAGTCCCTTTGAGTTCAATAGGATTTACTTCTGTGTAAGCTTGTATAGAATTGCAGTGTTGGGGCTAAATCCAATGAATAGTTCCAAATAAATTTCATCCATTGAATTAGTGGGGCTCTTACTGTAATTATTAAGTCACTATTTGTGTGAGTCCCATTGTTTCGATGGGTCTACTGTACTTGAGACTAACAATTGGATTTAGCTCTTCGTCGGCATATGGTTGATGCAAACAGCCTTCCAATTTGAAAATAGAATTGCTTCTTCTACAGTCATTTTCTTCTACTCAGAGTAAAAAAGGAGCAAGCTGTACATTTGGCATGGATGTGATTTTGGGGATTTTCCAGGCAGCCGCACAAGACCACCCAGCTTGTGGCAGCCGCACGAATGTGCAAAAGGTTCACATCTCTCCATGGTGAACAAGTCAGATGACCTACTTGCCACGAGAAACTGCCACAGACAAGCCAGAAAAGAAAATCCATGGTTTTGCATGCAGGAGACTAACATGTACTGGTCCTCAGTGATGGGCCATTAAAGTGCAAATCAATGAAATTGAAGTTTATGTCAGGATTTCCCATCTCACACAAGTCAATTCAGGGCATGTTTGCACACAGATAATCTGGTTTAATGGCCATTCCATCTCTCTAGGAACCCTGGGAACTACAGTTGTAAGATACAGTAAAAGAGTATTCTGAAAAAGAATTCTCTCACGCACCTGTAGTTCTGCAGAATCCTTGCAGAAAGCCATGAGCATTCTACCAATATGCAGTCATTTGACTACTGCAATGCTTCCCTTAAGGCTGGCCCAGAAACTTCAACAAGTACAGAATGCAGCTGCCAGGCTAGCAATGTGTCTGGACAATTTTGACTACACCATCTCAGTTCTGGCTCACCTCCATTAGCTACCTGTGATGTCCTGGATCAAGTTCAATGTTTTGGTGCTCACCTATAAAGCCTTTCATGGTTTGGGACTCCATTACTTGATGGAGCATTTTTTCCTAGATCATCAGCCAATGCCTCCAGATCCACATAGGCAATGCTGCTCTGGGTGGCCATGCCGAAAGAGGCCAGGAAATCTCAAGAAGAAGCACAGCCTTTTTGGCTCTAGCACCTTGACTTTGGAACCAAGGAATGGCCGAGCTTGGTCTGGCCCCCTCCTTGCCTACCTTTAAAAGGTTGCTAAAGACAGAGTTGTTCAGAGAAGCATTTGGTGGCAGCCTCTTATGCTTTTTTATACCATTGCCCTGCCATTTTATAATTTTAAATTGTATTATAAAGTACTGTTATATCTTGGCATTCACATTTGAAACATTTATTTTATTATCTGACTTGTTGGTGATTTTAGCATGTTAGCCTGCCCTCCACACCTGTGTAGCAACCAGAAGATGACATGACTGTATTTGAATAAACGTAGATTGTACATGAAAAAAATAAAACATCCCCTGAAAATAAGCCCTAATGTGTTTTTGGAGCAAAATTTAATACAGTATAGGACCCTGTCTTATTTTGGGGGAAACACGGTACATACATACATACATGGTTTCGTTTAGTCGTTTAGTCATGTCTCACTCTTCGTGACCCCATGGACCAGAGCACGCCAGGCCCGCCTATCTTCCACTGCCTCCCGGAGTTGTGTCAAATTCATGTTGGTTGCTTCGCAGACACTGTCCAGCCATCTCATCCTCTGTCGTCCCCTTCTCCTCTTGCCTTCACACTTTCCTAACATCAAGGTTTTTTCCAAGGAGTACATACATACATACATACATACATACATACATACATACATACATACATACATACATACATACAGACAGACAGACAGACAGACAGACAGACAGACAGACAGACAGACAGACAGACAGACAGACAGACAGACATGAATGCACACATGCATGCATGCACTCATTTTCTTGTGTAGTTCAGTGAGCTCTCTGTTCATTTATAGTTGCCCAGAACCTCTGTAATTATGCAATTTTTGTTTAAGACGGAAGTCTCATGATTCTTCTTTCTTCTTAGGCGTCATCCTTGGATTTGGTCTTCGGTCGTACCACTTCAGCTATCGAGAGGTGAAGTACTTTTCCTTCCCGGGTGAACTCCTAATGAGAATGTTGCAGATGCTGGTTTTGCCTCTCATTGTATCCAGCTTAGTAACAGGTACCAAGTGATTTTTCCCCTCTCCCGGCTACACCAATTTCCTTCTGTATTTTGCTACTGCTACTGTTACCCTTTTAGATTATTTTTCTTAAGGTCAAACATTAATTGATCAATTGGTTGTAAAGAACACACACGTTCAGACATCAAAATAGTCTACTGCATAGATTGAACTTCTGTGAGAATCTTCCATCTAATATCGATTATTCTATATTTAAAACTTGTGACATTAATGACAAAAGGGCTATTCCCATTTAGACATATTTCCAGAAGGTCTACTTTTGATTTACCAGGAAACTATAGCAGAACTGGGTGCAATGTTCTCTCCCTTGCACCCTTGTAAAAATTACAATACAGAAGTGTATGTGCCGTGGACTCTAAAACGCCAGCACTACATGGACATCACCTTTGGTCATGAGGTATACTGTGGAAACTCCCTTCCATCAGCGTAGCATTAACCCTTGAGAAGAGAGAATTTCTGCTTGTACTCACTCCTGGTTTATTTACATAAGAACCACATTTGTTGCTATAAAGAAACCTTCTAAATCCTAACACTTCAGGAGAATGGGATACATTGGACAGAGCTAGCAAATTCTGGCTGTCAGTATCAAAGATAATCTGCTATATCACAAATTTGGTTTGCCTGCTGTTACATCTACAAGGTTCTGCTAAGCTAAAAGGGCATGTGGTGAAACCTTTTGAACCACAACCCCTCCCCCCCCCAGGAGACATTTGGGTCCTTCATTGTCAAGATGACCTAAGGATCTTCATTTTTGCTATGGGACAAAGTTATCAGTGAGCATAGAGCGCAGTAGCTTTAGAAGAGGTAGCCATGTTAGCCTTGTGCTAGCATAACAGGTAAAAAACAAAAAAGACAAAAGACAAAAAGACAAAAACATTGTGGTACCTTATAGACTAATTGCTATATTCCAGTGTGAACTTTTTGTGGATAAGTTCCCTTCTTCAGACAAATAGAGAGCAGGACCACCAACAGGGATTTTAAAGGCTTTCCCTCCATCCAGAGGATCACAGTGGTTTCCCCTGGGCAAATTGCATCCCAACAGAGCCACAGAACCTGAAGGGGAGGAATAGGAAGTTTTAAATGAAATTAAAATAAAGATTAATGGTGCTAGGTGGTGGTACCATCAACCGTTACATGGCATAGTTGCACCAGCTAGACGTCAGCTGACATGTAGTTTGACATGATCTTTTTTCTTAGGAACATTCATTAGAAGCTTAGCACCAAAGAAACAAAACATTTTTTAGAGCTAAAATAATATGGCTGCGCGGTCATGCCATATATGCTCCACCAATGTGTTTTATGCCCTTTTTTTTGCATTACATAAACCAGAAGTGGGCCATCTCATCTCAGCAGATTTGGGAGACAGTTTTTTGCCTCCAGACACACTAGGTCCAGAAATGGTTATTTTCAGCCAGATAGATAGATGGATAGACCAGCACAAACTCTACTGCTCTTGGAAGCATCCAGCGATGTAAATAGTGCTATTTTAACCTACACTCTTAAAAATTAATTCAGAGTCCTCCACTGAAGTTTTTAGCTACACTGAGCCCTGTTTTAGATGAAACAAAAGGATTTCTAAAAAGAAAAGAGAGGGTGGCGGAAAAGAGAGTTTGCTATTTAGGTAGGGCTTGGACTATTATGATTTGCAGTGAGACTTTGCAGTGTCTTAAAATATATTTTCATCTGCTCTTTGTGACTTCAACATCCAACAATAATATTATGCCTTTTTTAAAAAAAACTCTTTTCTTTCATGTATTGTTGCTTGGCAAATATGGTCTCCTGCATTTCTTTTTAATTAAGTGCACACAAATGTTAACATTTTGAAACATCTTTGCAAACCAAATGTCAGCCTTGGAACTGCAGAAAGAAAGTACAGATAAGTTCCACTCACTTACCAACAATCCCTGAACTTAAGTGAGAAGGATTGAAATAATAGACGTGTTTCTCTGTTGCCTAGCTTTACAGAGGCAGCTTCAAATCTATGGCAAGACACAATCTCTTGAGAACCATTGTATACTAGGTGTTGGTGTTAGAGTTTTATTTGCAACCTTGCATGCTATATATACATAGTTTGTGTGACTGTTAGGAATTTTTCTGGCCTGGTGTGATTGTCTGTCCAGCACTAGCCAATCGTTCCTTCCAGTCTTTCAATTCAAAGAAGACCCCACTTTTCTGTTGAGTGTATCTCTATTCATGGTTGGTGGCAGTATTTTGTTTGCAGTTAATCTGTTTGGTTGGTTAATCGTTCCTTCCAGTCTTTCAATTCAAAGAGGACCCCACTTTTCTGTTGAGTGTATCTGTGTTCATGGTTGGTGGCAGTGTTTTGTTTGCAGTTGATCTGTTTGGTTGGTTACTAAGCACATGTGCAGTAAAGAAAGCAGCATACACAAATCTTTAATTTCAAACAACTGTTAAGTAAAACATGTTTTCATTCTTTCTCCTACAGATGTCTCAGAGTTAATTATTAAAACTGCAAGTGTCAGTTAATGAAAAAGGTTAGACTCTGGGGATCTCTGTGCTTCTACTGCTAGAAAAGGGGAATTTTACCAGATATTCAAAATTCTGCAACAGATTATGGGCCTAGAGACCAGAGATATATACAGATAGCTTTAGGGTATTGTTTTTCAAAGTGTTTGAAGGACAAAAAGAAAGAGTTCTATGTAATTGGTTGTTGTGGGTTTTTCAGGCTCTTTGGCTGTGTTCTGAAGGCTGTTCTTCCTAACGTTTCGCCAGTCTCGGTGGCATCTTCAGAGGAGTAGCACTCTGTGCTCTGGTGCAGTTTGTTTGGGAGTTGAGTATTTATAGCTGTGGGATCAGCTTTTGTCCTTTTCAGGAGATAGGCGGTTATGGTGATCAGTTTGTTTTTGTTGTGGGTGTATTGTTGTGATAAAGGGGAGAGATGATCTGTCACTGTGATTGATGGGTGTCGTTAGCTAGTCTTTTGTGTGTTGTGATCACTGGTCCTTGTGGCTGGGTAGAGTTCATTGACCTTTTGTACGCTGTATTTTTGAGAGCTGAGAGCCAAGTTTTGTTGAGTTTCAAACTTTCCTCTTTTTTGTTGAAGTTCTGTTGGTGCTTGTGGATTTCGGTGGCTTCCCTGTGCAGTCTGACGTAATGATTGCTGGTGTTGTCCAGTATTTCAGTATTTTGAAACAGAATTTCATGTCCAGTTTGTTTTAGGGCATGTTTAGCTACTGATGATTTTTCCAGTTGTTTTAGTCTGTAGTGTATCTCATGTTCTTTGATTCTGGTGTGGATGCTTCATTTTGTAGTTCCAATATATACCTGTCCATAACTGCAAGGTATCTGGTATACTCCTGCAGTGGTGAGGGGGTCCCTTCTGTCCTTTGCTGACTGTCACATTTGTTGTATTTTGTGGTTGGTCTGAATACTGTTTGTAGGTTGTGTTTTTTCAAAAGTTTCCCCATGCGGTCTGTTA